TCTGTCTAAGCCAGCTTAAGCCCCTGTCTCTGTCTCTTACACCAAAAGTAAGTGACTTATTTCAAAGTCCCGTAACAACAATCGCTTTTTAAAGGATGGATCTTAGGCTAACAAGGAAAGTCAAGGGAAAGATTCTTGGGACTTCAACTGTTAAAGCCAGTTTAGTTATAGTGGCAATTGCCAGCCTTACATTTTTTGTAGTGCTCCCCCGAATCATAAGTGAGAAAGGAAAGCTAACAGCCGGTGAAAGTGCTTTGTTCTCGTATGAGAAAGCAAGTTCAAGTCAGCATGCTTTGAGAAACTCGATATTTTGTTTTCTTTATTTAGCATCTTTTTTTCTATTGCTAAGTCCTTCCATGTGGGTTTTTTTCCCTTTTCGCTAGCCGTGAAAACAAAAACTGTAGGAATACCTGTTCTTTCAACAATCCTTAAAAGTTGTCTCCTTTAGTAGTTCCTCACCTTCCTAAGGATAAAGAGAGAAATTATAATACTTTTTTTATTCATTCTTTTTTTGGTACTGATTCGGTGCGGGAATAGCCCTCCTTCTATCTGCGAAAAAACCTACTTTATCTAATATGCTTTTCTCTATTCGGGAAAGTAACAGGAGTCAAGCTCGCAAACCAGACTTCCAAGAGTAGAGGATAGGTCCATTCGATGGAGTACTCTAAAAGGGGTGCCCTCCCTGAGTCTTCCTAAGTCCTAGTTTCAGCTTGATAGACTAACTAATTACTTAATAGAATTGCCGGATCAACCATCAATTGTTTCTTATGATTCTAGGGGTTTAGGATAGGAAGAGGGCTAAGTTCAATTCAAAGATGCTAAAAAAGGGCATTCATTATAATGGCTTTCAATGCGCATTGAGCGGGCTGCTAGTTCAGGTCTTTGTTGTATTAGATCTCTCGTTCCCAGTAAGAGATGAGCTTTCTTTTCAGGATGGAACGTTTGTTCAGGACCATAGGACGGGATTTTCCCCTAAAGAGTCACACACTTGGAGAGGGGATTTCCTTCCATTCATAAGCCCCATGATATATCCCCAAAAATTAGCCCGAAGTGACTGACCATATAGAATCATTTTTTTCCCTTTTCCAGAGACGAGAGAAGTAGCAACCGTGGACCTAGCTCACGGGGACTAGTTGCGACAGGAAAGAGGGAACATGGTGTTGTGCTTCTTACCTATGATGATTCTGCATTTGCCCGGTTAAGCTGATATTTATATAGAAATACGAGCTCAATTACATCGTTCCTCTCCTTGACTTGTATGAGTAGGGCGAGTGGCTTTCACTCCTCTTCCCCGCCTCGAGGTCTTCTTACTTCAGTTGGAACTTAAATACTTTGGCACTGACTTCTCGGTTAGAGGGCTTTAGCCTTTTTGGAATGTACTGTATTTACTATAGGGTTTGTTTACTTGATTTCTTTGTATTTTGCTTGCTGAGTTGAGTAGAGTAGTTGATTAGTTCAAGACTGGACAGGACTTTCCTTCCGAAAACCAAGGCAAGTACTCCATTTTCCTTTCGTTCTTTCTTTATCTTCCAGAGCTCTAGTTTCTTCCTTAGATTGTCCCCATTACACTCTTTCCCTCTTCTTCTTTGCCCTTTTATATTATAGAGACGAGTTTACGAGCCGGCTGCCTTTCTTTCTCTTCAAGCCAATTCCCCTTATATAAAACAATCTGGTAACGATGTTGCGCTATCAAGACACCAAGCTCTATAGGTAGCGAGCCGAATCAGTAAGAAAACTAAACTTGAAAATGACCTTTTCAGATAGCTCCAAAGGCAGAATCGGGATGAGAAGGTTCCCCAATAGGGGGCAAAGCCCGTTCATACTTTCTTCCAAACCTTCGACATATGCTACCACTGCTGCAAGACCTCTTCTTCCTAATGGAGGTGTCGGGAGTGGCTCATAACCCCTGGGCTCCTCGTGCAGGTCCCAGTTCCAAACTTATCCAAGGAGTACCACAAACCATACGGTCGCTGGTAACTCGCCCTCATGATTCATCACGTGGTGGACCATAGGGTAGCACTAAGAAAGATAGCTTCCCGAGGGAAGTTTGATTTTGATTTTTATAATAGGCACCAAAGCCAATCTTCCTGACAGGCCGCATCCTCTACGGCCAACTCGTCAGTCTGACACTGACGGAGCAAGCATCTTTAAGAGTTTCTTTTAACGAGTCTCCCACACTCACAGGCACACCTCTGATTGATCTCGAATCACTCTGATACCATATAGTCTCAGAGGAAAGCAGTCCATTATCTCAGCTCTGATACTATGGCAGATTTATCCGAACAAGGGTAAATCCGAGAACGAGCCGTGGGAAAGTTCCCATCGACCTTCAAAGCAGCATTTAACGCCTTTTGAGATAGGTGAGAAATTTTCTTCTTTATTCATGAAAAATAATCCTTCCTAGAAAAGGTTTCTCTGTTGTCAATCTCACTGGATCTCAGTTCGACATAAGATTATTAAAGATTGGAATCATCGGGAATGGAACTCTTACATCTCTGTTCTGGTGATTCGTGGTTTTATTTGAGAAGAATTCCCTGATAGATGAGCACATGATGTACATCACTGAGGTAGAAGAAGACCACCACTGGGTCATGCATTTGGTTGGCGCTCTGAACGATGCAAGAAAAAAAGGCATAAATAGAAGTCGATTCCACTTTTTTGTCCTGCTGAAAAAGCTTAGTAAACCGGTCTTCTGAATTCCCTCACCTACCTGGATCAGTGGATTCTCCTGATTCAGCAGGATTCGGCTTCGTATGAAGTGTCTGCGGATTACTAAGCCGTGGATCGATATCTTAGGATCTAGCTAGATAAGACTTTTTACACCTTGAAAAACGGCAGAACGATACCCTTTAATAATATAAGGAAATAGTTCTAGTAACTTTTTAAAAAGATCTTGCGAAGAGCATCACTGAGGTGATGCACGAAAGACTTTAATCACGCAGATTATGCCTACCGTCGGATATTGATGAAGATGGAGTCAATTTACTTAACCAAAGCCATACCTGAGTGACTTAGGAAGTGGCTTTATCTTACCTTTCTACCAAAGCTTCACCTCCCTCTCTATACTTTAGGGGCATCAACGTTCCACCCTTTTGTATTGTAATTGTTAAGTTGACACTCTGGAACACACGTTACTCTTATGTCCTGCATTTTTTCGATCGATGGACATAATTAAACTAAGATAGGTCCCTTTCGGAGAATTCATCTTTTTTAGCTTGACTAATCGTGTAGCAAGGATGTAGGCTTAGAGCCAACAATCAAGCTAGAAAAGTATACCGCGAGCGAGTAGTCTTTGCGGACATGCTTACTTCATCTTCACTTCATGCTTATACACCTGTGGGGCTGGGGTATAACTGAGTATAGTATTATACTTGTCTACATATCCGCTTTCACTTAAGTAACGGAATCAAGCCCTAGTAGTTCTGTCTACCTCTGTTTTTCTAGAATGGAACAAAACAAGAAAGCGGAACAGTGCGGCCGTTAGTAGTATAAGGGCCCCTTAAAGGGATAAATTATGTTGCCGTATCGCTTGGATGACTCGCTTGTATGGAACAGAGGCGTGAGTACCCAAGTCGTCGATACTTCTCACATAGCCTACATATGTTTTCTCGGTCAAAGAAGTCCCTCCTGGATAAAACATAAAGCCCCGTATCTGGTGACGTTTGGCCAAAATAGCAGCGGCGGGATAGCCATCGTCAACTAAAGTGGCTTCGATGCTTTCCTCCACCACAATCTGTGCAGTAATAATGCTTCCCCATTCCTCGCGGCTCAAGTTTTTCTGAATGGAATTGATTGAGAGGCGATGGGCCAACTCTTCCATACGCGTTTGAGCAGGCATCAAGTGGTTGTCATTCTCATCCTCAAAAATGAGGGGCCTACCTCGATCAACCTCAGGAGCAACAGGCTCTGGGGAGTGGGGCGCTGGTTGATTTATGCTCGGCTCGGAAGAGCTCACTGAGTTTCCGCCGGTCTCGGAATTACCAGTGGAACTATTTCCAAATAAATCGGTCCACCTAAAGCCCCTTCCTCCCGCGCCATCACCTGATCCTGAGCCAGCATCAGCCCCAGATGGATACATCCAAAGAGGCATTTCCTCGGCACTAAATAGTGCTCGCAAAACACATCCTATTGCCCAGGCAAGTCCCCCCGAGAGGCCACACTTGACTAAAGCAAAGGAGAGGGCTCGACCCCCGATAGATAAACCTATCTTCAAAAAGAAGCTTAGGCCAAAGATAAGCCAAGTGATATAGCATATCAGAGAGAAGGTAAGAAAGATGAGAACGATATAGACCCAGTAGTGAATCGTTGTCTCACTCATCTCAGTTCTCATGGGTCTTATCCCATTCGTTTCCCTCTTCTTTTGGCCGGGAAACTGGCCGTTTGTTTTTCTGTTGATGAAAGTCATGATGTTTTTACTCCGGTTAGGTACAAGAAAGACATAATTTTTGGCCTCACCATTTCTGTGAGAGATCCGATCTCAGTTGTTTTCAACTTAATCTCCTTCTCAATCGGTAGGGCTCTTGGAGGAAAGAGGATCCTGGTTGCTTTACCAACCCGACGGATCGTAACCTTAGGGCGACCAAGGTTTGGTCACCCCCCCCCTCTATTATTCGTCGGTGTCGGAAACTGAGAGCGTTCACGCTCACTCACATAATCTTTTTTAATTTATTCACCGGGCTTTTACCATGTCTCCCGAACAATTTCAGTACATATGGCGCAAGACGATTCCACATATCGAGGTCGGAATGGGATCAGGTGTTTTCACGTCTCACCGTAGTGCCCGGTTTGTCTTGATTTCCAATTGATGAACAAGAAGGAATGAAGTGCTCGACCGGAAGGGAAAGGAAAATGGAACGATTTTCTTTTTTTACTCGCCCCCGGTCTCCTTTGGACCCAAAGCCCGCCCGCATTCCAGCAAGCTAGCCCCGTAGGTTGGGGGAAGAGGGCATTTCCATCGCGAAGGATTCCATCTAGCCACAGGTTCCCCTACGGCTACCTTGTTATGACTTCACCCCAGTCGAAGACCCCACCGTGGTATGCGCCAATAAGACCACCAAAAGCCTTTGTGGCACTAGTGGTACACAGAAGTCATGGGTGATCATTGGTCCGATGCTTCGGGCGAAACCAATTCCCAGGGTGTGATGGGCGGTGTGTACAGGGCCCGGGTACATATTCACCGCGGCATGCTGATCCGCGATTACTAGCGATTCCAACTTCATGTTCCCGAGTTGCAGAGAACAATCCGAACTGAGGCAATCTTTCCGGATTCGCTCTGCCTTATAGCCTTGCTTCCCATTGTAATTGCCATTGTAGCACGTGTGTGGCCCAGCCCATAAGGGCCATACGGACTTGACGTCATCCCCACCTTCCTCCAGTATCTCACTAGTAGTCCCTCGTGAGTGCGGCATGCACCTTTTAGTTTGTTTCGGAGCCGTTTGTTTTGGTGGGGCGTACTAAACCCACTACGTACCACACCACCGGGCGGCTCGCCTGAATGCCGAGTCTTTCTCCGCCGCCAACTCGACGTCGTCGTCACCTGCAAGAGAAGGCCAAAAACGGGACTTTACTAAACAAGCGAGAAAACTTTCTATTTAGTAAAGCAACAAGCAAGGGATTGAGCTGCGCGAAAGCCGCGTTCGCGCATTCGTTTTCTTGCTCGCTAGCTGCAATCAAAAAACAGCGCACACTAGAAAGTGCTTCGAATTCGAAAGGCTCCGGCTCCCTTCTTACTGACAGCACAGCTATGTGATGGCACTCAATTAGTAGCGCTGGTGCGTCACTCGGCTCCTCGGCTCACTTCGGTTGCAAAGACTTTCTTCTTAGGCGCATGTCTCAGCAACACAAAATGAGGGTTTCGCTCGTTATAGGACTTGACCAAACATCTCACGACACGAGTTGACGACAGTCATGCAGCACCTGTATGAAAGTCAGTACCATCTCGTTAAGGATAGGTTTTCTTGTTCATATGTCAAGGGATGGTAAGGTTTTGCGCGTTGTATCGAATTAAACCACATGCTCCACCGCTTGTGAAGGCCCCCGTCAATTCCTTTGAGTTTCGGTCTTGCGACTGTACTCCCCAGGCGGAGTGTTTAACGCATTAGCTGGGCCCCTGATCCACGTAGACCAAGGGAGAACACTCATCGTTTATGGCATGGACTACCAGGGTATCTAATCCCGTTCGCTCCCCATGCTTTCGCACTCCAGCGTCGGTAGGGACCCAGAGAGCTGCCTTCGCTTTTGGCGTTCCTTCGTAGATCTGCGGATTTCACCCCTACACACGAAATTCCACTCTCCTCTGTCTCACTCAAGTGAATTGGTTTCGAGAGCATTCCACCAATTTTTGGCGACTTTAACTTTCAACCTGATTCACCGCCTACGTGCCCTTTACGCCCAGTCATTCCGAAGAACACTTACCCCCCCCCCCCCCGTCTTACCGCGGCTGCTGGCACGGAGTTAGCCGGGGCTTCTTCCTCGAGTCATGTCATGATCGCACACTCGACGAAAGAGCTTTACAAGCGGCATTGCCCTTCTTCACTCACGCGATATTGCTGGATCGGGCTTTCGCCCATTGTCCAAGATTCCCCATTGCTGCCCCCCGTGGGAGTCTGGGCCGTGTCTCAGTCCCAGTGTGGCTGATCATCCGAAAAGACCAACTAAGCATCATTGGCTTGGTCAGCCTTTACCTGACCAACTACCTAATACTACGCAGGCTCATCAAACAGCGCTTTTTATCTTTCTTCAGGATTTGGCCCGAACTGTTCGGCAGATTCCCACGCATTACGCACCCGTTTGCCACTTTGTTTTCAACTGTTCCCACCTCCTGGGCGAGACAAGCTACCTTCACGCTAGGAGCTTCTTTTCCTTCTGCCCAGCTCCCCGAAAACAACGTTCAACTTGCATGTGTTAAGCATATAGCTAGCGTTCCTTCTGAGCCAGGATCAAACTCTTCTTTTGAGTATGATTGGGCCCTGCAGTGGTAGAACCTGGTGAACCGGGCGTACTACTTCCCATCTTATCCCTTCTGGTCGAGCGTCTTCAAACCTTCTATGGACCTTGCTTCTCTTATTCTTTCTTTTTAGAATAGAACAGTACACAGATAGGCATGTGCTCCCAAGCGACCTCTGTAGTATGGAGAGCCACTCCACTTGCAGGATCAATATCCGCCTTCTTGTACTGATGCGCTTCTTTTGTGATTAATGGATTAGGGCTTTCGACTAGAATCATACATCCACTAAGAATGCCGAGGATCGATCCTCATACGAGATCCTATACTAGGTTCCACGAGATTCATCATTGAGGACACTGGCTTCATCGTTCTAGAGGGTTACTGGACAAGACAATATTGGCAATACCGGAACATGCCGCGTTGAGCTTGGTTCTGAGATTATAGTCTACTTCCTTAATCCTAACATCAGCGGTTTCGGATATCACCTACGATATTTGTAATGAGTCTTTGGAACCGAATATCCTTCTTCTCACTTGTCACTGACTGACTTAACTAATAGGGTACCAGTTTCCTTCAGATTCTTTGCACAACCGTAACTAGCTTCCAGGTAGCTCTTTCTCCCTGCCATTCCTTCTTCAGGAACGGAGTCAGGCCTTGACCTTCTTCTCTTACTTGCTTGTACCTGACTGCCGGAGACTGTTCCTGTCCTGATTTACTGATTTATCTTCTATGAATGCACGAGCATTCAAAGGTGGTTTACTTACTTGTTAGAGTCAGGACCAACTGTCACTCCACATTCATTAGCTCTTAAGCCAGTGAATGTGAATTATAGTGAGTAGCAAGCAAGCGAACGGAGCGTAGCATAGTTCGCGAGAAGGAGAAGCTAGTCAGCAGGAATAGCGGCCTTTCCACTGCTAGGTCTTTCACCCCACGCCAACAAAAAAGGCAGGTTCATCAACCCTGCGAGGGTCATTATTTCGCTTCTAGAGCGCTCAACCCTGTGTCAAAAAGAGGTTGAGGGCACATTTCGGCCCGGCTAATAAAATGATTGAAATCCATTTTTGCATAGCTTGCATTCTCTTTATTCGCCAATGAACATCTACCTTTCGTCTGTAACGTGCATTTTTTGCTTTCTTTAATGGATCCTCGAACTTGATTGAAAGCCAATGCGTTTTCCGAAAGGGGGTCTTGAAAAAAAAGGCCTACCCCTTGGCAGGAGATGTTGAAGTAGCGCATGAAGTAGTCTCTATCTCCCGGTCGGAGACAAGGGATGGATGTCGCTAGGCTAGGTCAACTCTCTCATTGGTTTCATTATCCCTATAACGATCACTAGAAAAAGATATGTGCTACTACTATCCTGATGCAGCGAAGCTAGGTGGTGCTATTATGGCGGGGGAAGGGTCTACTTCTGCTCCATCGGAATGCTTTTGGTGGCAGATCTTTCTATTACCGATATGGACCTCTGGGTCTCATTCTGTACCTAGGTAAACGATCTATATAACTAAGGTCAGTATATGAATCTACTGCGTCTTTTATCTCTGGTGTTAGATCACCTACTCACTACTGCGCTGCGACAAGGACTGGAACTGCCTCCGCGTTTGGACCTTTGATTAATTAACATCTCTTTTGTTTATTGACCTCCTATTTCTTTGTTTTTAATCCTAATCCACAGGAGGTTAAATTCATACTTTAGACTGCTGTTAAGTTATTTAAGTGTCATTCTCGATCTAACAAGAATGGAATCACACTCTGTAGGATTTGAACCTACGACATCGGGTTTTGGAGACCCGCGTTCTTCCGAACTGAACTAAGAGCGCTTTATTTTCAGAAATAATTTTTTGTGACCTCAATACATCTTGCACGCATAATATAATTTTTCTTTTCTTAATAATAAATAAGCCCTTGGCATAGAAGCTGTGAAAGAATAGGCTGCTGGAGGAAGAACCGCCCCAAAGCGGGAGAGAAGCGGAACGGGCAAGTCAGCCAGAGCGGCTTTGAGGGAAGCCAGCTCCTCATCTGACTTTGTTTGAAGGTCGGTGTCGAGGAATGGCATGGTCTCCGGGAGAAAGAAAGCCAAAGGAGCGAAAAGCACACCATTCTAGGTAAGCAGCATCTTTGAAGCGACATCTCACTCAATATACGCAATTCTCAGATCTGTCTTTTCCGGCCGATTTCATGCCACTCTACTTTGGACCCTCTTGCAGGAGCTCGGACTGAGTCTAGTTTAGGTCCATCCGAGGGTTTGCCTTTTCCTTATGCACTTCTTCACTTTTCTGCTTTTTGGATGGTTGCTCTCCCCCGAGTGAAGGCATAAGTCGTAGCCGTAGACAGTCACTAGCACTAGTTTGATCGCTATGCCATTCTCGGCAACGATGTGGTGATAGCTGATCGACGAGATGCTTCGGTCTACCTTGTTGAATCATCTACATTGATTGAGGACTCGATGTCAGAATGCATTCTTCGATACCCTATTGTAGAAGTTTTCATCTAGTTCCTGTAGCTAGTCGTAGATGCATATTATAGCTGCTATCGGATCAGAGGTTCAGGGGATCTTGAACTATATTATTTAAAAATATATATAAATTTAATTCCTGTTGGATCTCTTGCTTTCAAGTTCTCTTAGTTTCTATGTAACTCAATCAGGACGTAGATGTAGATACGGATAGGGGTAAACCGGGTAACCAATCCATGACTCCTTCACCCTTAGATCGCAAGACTAAGGCCAACGAGGAGGAACCTCGCGTGATAGGCTGGTTCTCACTAGGGTCAGTCCTATCATAAAATTATAGTTTATAACCTCACTCTGCTTGGTAAGGCAGAGCCCTATGTTAGTCAAATAGGCACCCCCCGGTTTCTTAGTGAAACTCATCAAGGTGAGGTTTGGTGGGCTAGCTTATAGCTATTCTATCACTCAGGGATCCAGAATGGAGCAACTGGGGGTGACGTGGAAGCCACCCGGGTGGGGTCAAATATGATATTAAGCGGCCTCATGCAGGTAACCAAACCAGCGTAGGAAGCTTATCTATTTAGATAATAGGCTTCCATCTGGAAAACTTTTTTTATAGGATATCTATAGTTAGACTCATCCAATGGTGGAAGATCTTCGGATACTAAAGTCAATGTGTAATAAGTTGATTTTAGTAGTCACTGATGGTTTAACCTAACCAAGGAGCTCTGTATCGGAGCATACCTCTTTGCCAAGCAGGTAGTTTGAATCGTCGGTCAGGCGCTCTGTTTACTGCTTTATATCTGAAGCAGTACGCAGTAACACTTCAACAGGCGTACGGTGGGATTACCCCATATGATATTCATACTAAACTATTTGTTCCCGTATCACTCACTAGATCAGGTTACCCTACGATCAGACCATCCTTTCATAGACAACAAATCTATATATAAAAGGGATGATAAAGCTGATATGCTAGTTAAACTCTACTTATCGTTCTTTAGTTTATCTAGAGCGATTAAGTTAGCAAAACGGATTTCTCCGTCTTTGTTTGCTAGCATAACTGATCCTATGTCTGACGTTCACAAATTTTAAGAAGTCAGAGATTGGCTACGAGAGTTAATATGTAAACTAGCCAATCGGTACCTATATCAAGCCCTCTCACGCCCCCTTTACCAGGGAATCTCGTGGGAACCGACTTGGAAGGCTCTGCCAATGGATCGTAAGCGACCTGGTCAGTCTCGCCGTGAAAGAGGCATATTTGCCAATTTTACATCACAGTGACTCTGGTTCGCTATGCTCCGTTTATCGATGTCTGTTAACCCTGCATTAGCATTAGGAATGACGCAGAAGCTTACATCGAAAGGATCAACAGCCTTTTTTATGGTCATCCATTACCACCTCGTGATGAATGGGATGATTGGCTATCCAATATATCAGCCAATAGTTCTGTTACAATTCAAAAATGTATTCTGATGGAGTTTGACAGTACTGGTGACTTATTTTGCTATCCTGGCGGGTTCTCGCATTCAGTTAAGTCTGGTGCGGGCAAGAGGAGGGTGTTTGCCATAGGAAACTATGTCAATCAGAGGCTTCTCCGACCTCTCCAGCCCCGAAATTAGGCTCTTTTCCTTCTCTACGACCACAGACTTAAGTTAGAAGATCCACCGGAGATAGTCCTTTCTTTGACCTACCTTGACTTTAGTGAGTCTACGAATCCGCGGAGGGACAAGTCTGCTAGTGACCAAGCATCGAGTCAAGATAGGAGCAACCCCCCATTCAAACCAACCTCTAAAACAAGTTTTTACTAGGTTTTATCTGGAAGGCGGGAAGAGCTCTATTGGAGCATTTGGGCGGGAAGCCCTACAGTAATGGGATCTGTTACTTGACTTGTGAAGCCCTGTGCTCGAAGCAAAATAAGATTACTTGCACAAAGAAAGTGACCAAAGATATATTAAAAACTTAGAAAGAAAAAGGCGCAGAACGTTGCAGGAGTTCCTGGAAGTCAGTCAACTCTTGCCTATAGTCGGGCAATCAATCCATCCTTCGTCTCGGGCACAAAATAGGAACTCTTGTACTGGAAAAGAGAAGGACGCAATGCCTTTCTTTTACTTACCCTTTTTCTTCTCTTATGTATGATATTTATAGTGACCCAGTAATGCCCCATCAAAGAGCCTATTCGTCGTAAGCCCTTTTAACCCTCACAACTGATTCGACGGGATGTGGATTCTCGAACAAGAACACATGTAGCTCCTTCTCAAAGACCGGATTCTCAAGCAGGGGTTTTGAAGCTTCTTCTATCATTCTCGGTATCAACAAATTACCTCCTCGTATTATGTATTAGAAAAAAAGGTAACCAGATCTCCTCACTAGAGTTCTTTGCATTGGGCTCGCTCGGTTCGTCTGTTCATTGTAGGAAAGCGTTTATGGAGCAGGAACCTATTTTTTGAGGTCAGCCCGCTTTCTTTCTCTGATCCCCAATATGAGTGAGACCAAGATGGCTGACTGGAGTGCCACAAATCAGCTGGTCATGTCATGGCTTCTAAATTAAATTTTTCCTAAAATTTATACCAGTCTTATATTTAAGACATCGGCTAAACAGGTATGGTCTAGAGGAGCTAGAATCCTTAAAGGCTATTCCTGACCGATTCCCTTTCGTCTCTGCTAAGATGGACGAGAAGAAGGATAAGAATTGGTTTACCCGGTTGGACTATTCCGGAATCTTCTTCTTCGAATTAGCCTCAAAGGCAGGGTCTTATGAGCTCATCTATTGTGTTTTTTACATGGATAAGCCTCTTCTCTTATGGGCTGGCCGTCCTTCTGTTTCGATGAATGGATTGACCATGAGCTTACAGTGCCTTGTAGAAATCATAGCCTCATTGTTCACTCACCGAAGATTATTCTCTTCACATAGATCTCGGGATACGAGACCTTCCTTCAACTACGAACTAAGCAGCCTTGAAAGTTGAAAGAAAGGAGTAGTGAAATGAAAGAAGAAGGGAATTTGTTATTGGATAGTCCCATCCCAATCCAATACGAAAACGAGTAATGAGCCCCTTTATGTTGTGGGCAGCAGAGATTAGATTCTTATTCTTCTCTTTGCTTTGGTACCAGCCTTGATATCTCAATCTTGCAAGGCACGACAGGCATCGGAACAAACTCTGCGGAGAGCCACTCTTTGGTCCAATAAAGAGACAGATCAGCATCCATAGAATCTATCTAGAAAGAGGCAGTCTGCCGCATCAAGAAGAAGCGCACATCTTTTTTTCGAGAATCTATCCCCTTTCTTACCGGAAGTTACATTTTAGAATATCTCCATTAAAGGAAGATTGGAGGGGATCTTTACCTAAAGGTGCGGAGCGAAGTCTGCATTTATTGCTAGTTCTTCTCCCAGTCTCGGACTCAGCCGTTTAGCCGATTCGCACCTTTACTCTCTGTCTCAATTGAGCCGGTCAGATCAAATGAGAAGTCAGGCACTCGATAGACTGAAAGGAAGGTTCCGCCTATAAATTTATTGATCAATGTTACCGGGAAGCAGCAACAGAGACAGATTGAGTGCTAAAGCTTTTGTCCCGTAACGGTTGATCCGTCGGATTTTCGCCTTCAATGACCTATTGTAGTGTAGGAGGTGGCCTTCCCAAGGCCAGAGGACTGGTGACAACAGTACCATAACGGTTTTTATTTTAAAGCAACACAGGTTACCGCGCGAGGTCGTGGTAGAAAGAATCTTGGCCGTGGTCGTAGTTCATTGGTGATTGTCAACGAGGGGAGTGGAAGTTTTTCAGGTAAGCCATACTTCCAAGGTGAGCCGTAAGGCAAACTATTAGAGTGGGTAAGCGCCTCTACTTTTCTTATAGTGGGTAGAGGGTTTCTGAGCTAATTGGCCATGTTGGTACCACCACAATTGTAGTAATTATTTCATTGATTGATCGACCAGTGGGATATTCTCTTACGTACAGAATTAACGGGCTTAACGAAGCTCTTCGATGCGCTTCACGTCTCTGTTTGTTCGTCCCAATCTCTGTTCGGGTCTCTCCTTCAGCATGGCTCTCTCTTAGAGCCTTGTACCTTTATTGAGATTTTTTTTAGGATGGGTGTAGCTTTCTTTCATGTAGGAATTTATCCTGCTGTAATGTAATATATAGGAGTTCTCCCGGCTTTATTTATGATAGTTGTGTTCTTTCTATTCCTTCCAGCCGAGGGATAAGAAGGGTAAAAGAATGAAAGGTAAGCATGTCGTGTCGACGCACGCGAAAATCTATCAATGTACAAGTCCACTTCGATAGCCAAGCAATGAGGGAGTCTGAAGATACTTCCAGTTCGCTGGACTTAGTTTTAGATACTCCAAGCCTCGTTATGTTCATTCTTTTCTGTAACGGATTTCGATATTTAATGTACAGGTCGATTGGGAACCAAATAAGACAAGCCAAGCGCTTAGCTTAGTTCGGCCGTTTACAAATTAGAATACCGAAACTGAGAATTCCATATGCCCTAAGACAGATGCCACTAAACAAGTAAAGGACAACAGACAGTATTCGTGGATCGGGAAGACCAACTCTCATTCAAGGAAGCGGACCGTTGACGACAGCAGGCCGGGAAGGAATAGAAAGCGGGGATAAGGTCTCAGTGTAGTCGATGTCCTATTTCAGAGTGAACCCCTTGGCGACAAGCCTGGCCTTCTATCTCTCAATCTTGCCTTTTGATTCCCTATTGGTCTTATCAATTTACACCCTACGGGCTTTAGGCTTGGCTCATTTTCTTTCTCTCCCTCTTGATGTCTTGTCGGCCTAACCTAGGAGTTATCTTTCCCGGAAAGATAGTAGTGGCGCTCTCTTCGCATCCTTTGACTTTCCATGCTTCGTGAAGGGCTCACTTTCGTTCAAGGTAATTTATGCCTGCTCTGGTTCCCGGCAAAGAATGGATGAGCGCTCATGAGTTCCCACTATCGAATCATCTCAGTTCGTTCCTATTCCGGGCATTGAAAGCTGAAATAAAAAGACATCAAGGCCTAAGTCAGACAATGATGATCTTCTTTTAAAATAGCAAGAATAGCTTAGCTGGTGGAGGACTCTGCACCCAGTAAGGTCGACACTTTCAGTCAGGAAGATGCTTTGCCACCCAATCGGCCGAAGCATTGGCTAATCTGTTCACCCTTTATACCGACCAGCTGTGGTGGGACATCAGGAGTTGCTGCACATCACCAACAATAGGCCTCAGACTGCGATCTGTAGACGACTTTTGACTATGAAAAGCTTTCAAGACCTGAGATGAATCCGTTTTCATACATACAAACATAAGATAGCTGTAGATAAAAATCCAGGTCAGAACCTTTCCTAAGTGTAAGTGCATGAGCCTCCGCCATGTCCACCGAAGAAAGAGTCATTTTATTTTCTTTATCGCCGAGCGTCTTTCGAGTCTCATGTTGACTTTTCTCTTTCATGTGAGACTTTGCCTTAAGAACTAGGGCTGAGCCCATACAACTATTATTGTTTTAACACTACTCTGCGGGAGATTGGTATTAAACCGAAAGCCTAACCTGGACTACTAATGGCTTCTTCTCTTGTTAGAGGAAGCCCTGATTCTCAGTCTTATTTATGTTACACATAGCAACTCTTCTTGTTCAATCCTTTAATAGGAACGACGAGAGAGTGACTAAGCCGAAAAGGCCAATAGCATTTTCTCTAGCAAGTGTATTCAACACTATATTAGAATGAGATAAAGCCTCAGTTTTTTTCTCCGTTTGTTTACACCTTCCTTTTGAACTCAGCTTTCACGTCTTTAATCCTCGATTGAGCTAGTCACTGGCGAACGCTTCCAAAAGAGACCTACCTCTACTCTAAACAAGAGTCGAGCCTTCGGGTATCAGACTAGCTTAAAAACCTAGTACGTAAGGATATAGTTCCTTTTCCTCAAAACCAGTCATCCGAGTGGGGCCCTGCGACAGGTGCCATATTTAGGTTGCTTGCGACTGAGACTTTTAGGGATTATTTCCATCTTCCCTTAATTAAGGGATTGAGAGAACATTCGGTCGGGAAAGAGCCACTACTTGGTTCAATAATTAATTGAAGGAAAATTATATCCCTCTTCGACATCAGATTCTTATCCTCTTTTCCGGGGAAATTTTGTTTTATTCTCTACGGCCCAAGGAAAAAAGTGGTCTGCTTTATTGAATCTTATTTCAACAAGGGGTGTCGCTTTCGTTTTCAATAAGGACGTTTAGTAAGAGGTACTTGCCCTTAGAACCATAAACATTTGCGAGTCGCCTTTTTACATGAAAGGTGGGTAAGGACTGCCAAAGAGCTCGAGTAGATTCATGAATGTCCTGGAATTTAAGTATGGGCTTAACAGGTCGAGAGAGTCTTATGCCGCGCAATCTCTTGCCGAATCTATTTATACTATGTTAAATCCATAACCCGAGAACACACATTTATGAATCTGGCCCTCTTTCGTTCGTCGTGATTGCTTTGATTGCTCTGAAAACACCCCCTCTCACTCAGGGGTAGCGATCAAATCTTCCTGCTTCAGCGGTTACGAATGGCGATTCTTACCACAAAATTAGACATTCCACTTTGAATGTTGTTTTCTTTCGCTTTGTTTTGGCTTCCATCCCTGAGCTTTAGCCCTAGCTTTCTTACGAAGAAGAGGCTTTCTCAGATCATATGGGGGAATAAGACTCAACAACCGGTCGTTCAAGTTCAAGAAGCAAACCTAGGAAAAGGGAAAAGTAAAAGACTTGGAGTAAGAAATAAACTTTGAATTTTGGCATAGAAGAAGAATTCATCCATATAAGAAACAAAGAAAAAGATTTCGTGGGGGTGGCGCTGGAGTCAGATCAATCCGACGCGGGATCTATAGGCTTCGAATATCCAATTAGTTTAGGATCCCGGGGACTGGAACGGGCGAAGCCATTGGATTGATTAGCCCAGGCGAACAGGAATGTGGTCGTCTAGATCGTACCTGCGGAAAGATTAGGTGGACCCCTATACATTCATTGATTAGACCGAAACCAATCGAAGCGATCGAGCTACCCGCATTTTAGTTTTGCTTTATCAAGCAGGGGCTTAGCCGCTTCTTTCTATTATTTCTTATATTTTAGGCAGCATTGGGAAAAAAAGAGACAAAACGTCGAATGGCTAAAAAGCCCTATTAATGTATGTGGAAAGTCTATACTTAACACACCGACTCAATTGGAAGCTGACTCCTCACAGGGTTCGAAAGTGAAGGTTTCAATCATATTTATAACACTGAAAAAGGCATAACATTGATTTACACTCGATAACTAAAATTGAAATTGGCAAATTCTTCATTTAATGATTCACCTACGCGTGATACTGATCTTTGCATACCAAGGGGCTGACCTGAACTAATGTCCTATACGAGACGAAGGCTAGGGATGAAATGGCAAGTGCCGCATCTCCTTCCACAGCGGATGATTCATATCTATCTCTATCTTCAGACTTGGGCAAAACAAAACTTCTATGCGATGAAACAAAGGAACAACATTCATTCCCTAAAGAAAAAGAAAACCATTACCAAGCCAAAAGATAATTTTAATTTCACAACCGAGATCGCAAGCATGGATCAAAGACGGAATCTCCTCAAAAAGAAGCGCTATCGATACAAAATGCTATAACGATTCACTAATGGAAGTCTTTCGATGATCCAGCTACTCAGACTGGACTCCTTTACTTAGTGGGTAGGAATTAAATATTGAGTTTGTTATTCACGGAGCTACCACTACTTGAGCTTACACCCGGACTCTTACTGTAGTCTCATTTCCAGTATCCTATAAAAGAAAAATACAAGTCCGTTTTTATATTCCTTATAGCACGGGTATAGATTACCTCACGGGATGAACTTATTAAGTTATATTAATACCATAATCGGGTGTTCAAGTAATTACCATTCAAGTCTCAAGCTTCCGGCAACCACTTATCCCAAGGTAGGTGGGAAATTAATTCCGGATGGAGCAATAATATTAAATTTAAAAATTTTCTTTCTAGGCTTCGGCGTATGTAGATTCGGCAAATGTTTCCACATCTCGGATCCTAGGTTCACACTCTAGGAGTCCCTTTCTTCGGGAAGTGACGGATCAATCTTTCATTGAAGAGAGGAATTGGCAAATTAGAATCAAAGATGAGCCGGCTTCCTTATTCTTTTTTTAATCACTGGCATTGTAAATGACTGGAAATGGCAGGGCAAAGACGAGTAGGGGCGGATGAAGATAAAGAAAGAGAATCTGTTGTCTGCAAGAATAGGCTGTTACTGGTCTTTTAGGTGAGGCTCTTTACAGGAGTGATCTCTCTCAGGTGGATAGATAGGATAGAATGAGTCTTAAGACTAGTCTTAAGAAAAGAAGCATATAGCTTCTAGCTGAAGTAGCATGATATATAGCTAGTCTTCACTAATGTTAAAGCGCTTTCCCCCTTGGGAAAGATAACATCGTCTGAGCCCTTATCTATTGACGATAGAAATTAGGAACGTTGAGCAAACCAAGCAACCAAAAACCCCAGGAATGTATGTAGAAAAGAGGGATGTTGTTGAATAGTTCTCTTTGACTTCGGATTGAGACTTGAAGCTTTAGCCTGAAGGAAGACAAGATCAGGAACCCACTGTTTTGTGCCACGCGCTTGAGCTTTCTCCTTTCCCCCTAATTTATATGGACTTCCATTCTTGTTTTCTAATAGAGGGAAAGCCGCTCTCCTTTATGTTCGGGTATGCCTTTACTTGTCGTTAGGAGAAGTCGTATCATCTTGTAGTTCTAGGATTGGTTTCTGTCTTGCCTAGTAAGGCTGGTAAGTAAAGTATTGTCTAGTTCTTCGAGATTTTATTTTGAAGACTAGATCACCACCACCGCTTCACCTTCTACCCTCTGATTTACAGAAGCTTTCTCGCTACCAGAGAGTGAAGGAAGTTATACCGGCTATTTACCAGGCCTTCAGGTGCCCATTGGACTGATTGATCATATCTTCAGGATATACCTTCTGGTGGAATTTTGTCTTTTTTACTTCTTGGCAATAAAAAGGAACCTTACACTATCCCCTTCCCTATAACCTAAAAGGACTTCTTTCTCACCAAGCACATACATATGCTTTTTGGGAGCAGATGAACCATCCAATAAAAACTTAGTAATTACTCAGTAGGTTTGACGGAGGTTTTGAGTCTTACAAATTCAACAGGCCCTTGTTCCCTCCTAAAAACTATTTGCCATGCTAAACCAAAGGGATTCTGAGATCGGACTCAGATCCTATGATCGTGGTTCTGTGACGAAATAAGGGTCTTCCTATAAGTACACCTTTAATTTTAGGTTTACCTCTATAGGGCGGGCGGCTAGGGAAAGACCTATTCCATTCAATCCATATTCAACCCTATCCTTTTACTCTGCTGGTTTAACATAACTCCCAGCGAGAAGTAAAGCAATTCCAATATGCAGAGCCTATAGGGTTTAGCATAAACTATGTGTAACTCCTTTATTTTTAGTAAGGCGATAAGTGGAGCTGAATGAAGCGGTGTTTTCCTTATATCGATTCTGACGTGCATCATGTTCCTTCTCATTCGATTTAGACCGATCACGGATATCCGCCTTTCCGTTTGACAGCATTTCTATGTTAGTAAAGAAAGCGGCAGATCAATCACTTACCTTTCGTTAGCGGTTTCGCGACTCTAATATAGATGTTTCCTTTATATACTATAAATAGCTGTTTTGCTTTTTTTTGTTCTTTCATCTTGAATCGTTTTCGAAGAATCTCGAGAGTAATAAGTCGCCAGCCTAAAAATTAAGCCTGTATCTATATAACTCGTTTCAACATGACGAAATCGAGATAACATTGTTAAATTTGGGTAGGGCATGCACTTCGAAACGTAAAAAAATCCGCACTACGTTCCGTCAGAAAGCAAGCCCCATCTTCTATTCTTATCATTTGTTCACTTATTTCACTTACTTTCAAAAAGCGGTACTGGCACTAGTCAATCATCGTGCCTTTAGCCAATGATGGATTTACAATCACCGCGGTTTTTCGGAGAATACCACTTTAACGGCGACTAAAACTAAAGCGTATGGCCTTGTGGAGGTTTCTAAGGATCGTTAATCCCAATGGACAAACCTTGGATCCCATTAGCGCGGGCGCCGGTAATACTCTATCTTAGAGCTCATAAAGGTGCTGGGAGCATTTTAGTAAAGCGCGTTCAAACAGCATGAGCTTTTGATACTTATGAGATCGATGATGTATTGAAATTCGTCTTTCATTGTTGTTCTTTTGACGGTGTAATAATGCGATGTACCTCCTTATATTTATATAGGACTTTCGATCTACCTTGGCGAACTGTCGTCGAGAAAGGACAACAAGGACTTTCCCCTATGTTACGTTTTGTCAACATATACTATTTTTATGGGCGGTGCCGCGATTACTAGCGATTCCCCATGCTAGAGCGCGCCTACATCCAATAGGTACTCAATTCTATTTTAGGGCAATAAAGAACTTAGAGCAAGATAATTATATATCCGATATGTACCTTCCTTCCATCCGGGAGTACCCGTTTATCAGTGATCTCTTGGAAACCAACATAGTCCAGTGTACCAAATAGTGGTCGGATCCTAGATTTAAAAGAGTCATTCTCCCTGATCGGGCGGGAGTAAGAAGAAGAAGGAGCACTTTAATCTTCCCTTCCGGGCTTACAAGACGAGACCTAGATGGTACGTTATAGGATATTCGAAAAAAAGCAAGTAGGACAAAATGACTGAGGTAAAATGGCACGCGGTAGTCATTCAAACAAAAGACGCTGAGGAACCTCCATCGAGCCACGTGATCCGCTACAACTCACACAAACAAAGACTAGGTTCGGCTTCTCAAAAGAAAAGGGGGGGAGAAAAGAGGACAGGGGCGCTCCCCGCTAACCGAAGTCTTGGATTTTTCTTTCTCGGAACCTTCCCTTACCTTTTATTCTCTTTAAATATTTCGTATTAGTGCAAGGGGGCCTTCTTTCTTGAAGTTGTAATGGCACAAGAGGACGATTCTAGGCTTCAGATAAGCAAACAAACTTGTGCTCCCTTTTTCCAGTTGTAGCAACTCAAGTCCGTAAGCGGGTTCAACGGAAAATCCAAGGTTTTCTCGAATCAATAAAAAGATAATAATAAGGTCAAATCTAGCTATTCCACCTTTCGCTGCTAGTTAGTGGTCTGGTGGTAATGAAATTATAAATTCGTCTTGGCTCCCACCGAACCTCTTCTTAGAGCCTTTCCTTGCCCAAGCAAGGGCTATGCTATAAGAAGAGAAGGAAAGGCTTGGTTTAGGGAACCGGCCCCCCAGTCGCTAAAGTAGTTCATCGTTTAGAGCCGCCCAATATTAGTTCTACAGCCCCCAGTTAAAGACCTAGAAAGCCTTCACTAAAGCATAACTAAACCCAAACTTGGATGACATTATATTTTTGGGGTGGGGTTCTCTTGAAAAAAGGAAGTTATTTCCTGGACAGACCATCTAATAAGAGCAACTGCGACGACGAAACCCCTTGCTTTAGCTTATCTAAAAGCTTGGGGCGTGTAGCTCTCCGTACAAGTAAGAAAGTTAGTGTCGTGTAGCCCTGGGTGAAGAAAAAGAAAGAATAAGGAGTGAGAACCAAGGAACTCCAGAGAGGTTGGTTGCGAAGTTGGTCAAAAAGCTAGTACATCATCTCCACCTGGAATTGGAAAGTGCTAAATAACTCTTTTATTTGCGGCAACTATAACTTTATCTGCTTATTCAGTGAGGAGGGCAGCATCTGCCTTTGAATGGAATCTAGCTAGGGCAAAAGGTATACCTCGACCTGGGGTGGGGGCAGAACAAAGAAAACCGCAAAGAAAGAAGGGACAATCTATCTGAATTAGAGATTGCACAGGCTTTCTTGAATTAATTACTTTCCACGGATCTATTCGTAAAGCTTTATATCTTCGCTTCGGGCTTATAGAGCCTAACGGAAGAACTTTCTTTGGTATTGGGTAGGTGGATTGAAAGAAGAGCAAGGTCATTGGTTTACTAAATAGAAATGGAGATGGTTCTTCTTGGTTCAAATCCCCGTCTTTGAATTGGCTCGATCTGTATTGGCCACATCCTCCATTGGTAAGCATCACTAACTAAGAGTTGAGTTTCATCTTTGCTTCTCTTTCTTTCCTGGTCTTTTCGGAGGGTAAAGGTGAACTCGGATGGGTGCGCCAAGGGGTGAGGCTGGATAAAATCATTAGAGATGCCCGTGGGCTTGTGACTTGGGAATCTGTAGTCGTCTTAGGCGGTCCGGTACCTTCGTGGTACTAACATGGTCTATAAAACCTAAGTGAGTTTGCATCCAGTCATGGATGGATGACAGTCATGCAGCTCACACCTTAGGTCATACCAAGGTGCCCTATCTATATAGGGTTCCCACGCAATGATGGGTTGGTGTCGAAGACCAATCTTGTGAAGGACGTAGAGGGCTAATTCCTTCTCGTCGCTCAATCTGGAGTAAGAAGCCGGCTACTAGCACGAGTGTACATCTTGTGACCACCAGCATTGCAGGGCACTGAATGAGAGTTTTTATTCTCCATCCTGAAGCCTTGGCTTCGCACCCTAACGGGCTTATGGGTACTGGTGGGAAGAGGGCGTAAGAAAAGTGATTATGAATCATTTTGCCTCCTTCCCTGATTCGTCTTTTGCCATTACGGCAGTTCTTCGAAGACTTCTCTCGAATCCTAATCTAAAGCTAGTGGAAGTAGTCTTTTTTAAGATGTTTATGGCCAAAATCCCGAGAGTCCTCTGGACTTAGCTCCACTTCCAGCTACTCACAACTTTAGTGGAGATGCGGTTGAAGAAAATTTATAAGTTGCATGAGCGAGAAAATTTCTAACTAAGCAAAATGAGAAGTATCAAGCTCAAGCTAACAAGCCTCGCAAGTTTTCTGAGTTCAAAGAAGGTGATCTGGTGTAGGTTCATCTTCGAAAGGAGCGTTTCCCGCGAGGATAATTTGCTAAGCTCAAGCCTAGAGCTTATGGACCATTCAAAGTTCTCAAACGCATTGGTGAAAATGCCTACAAGATTGAACTACCAGCTGAGTATGAGGTTTCAGAAACATTGAAAGTTTCTGATCTTTTTCCTTATTATGGTGAAGAAAGCACTAACGACTCGGGGGCGAGTCTTCTTCAACTTGACGGGGAAAACTAGAAATAAAGGAAGTAGTTTTGGCTGGGTAAATTTCTTTAGAAATGTTATAAATAAAAGAGAGGGGCTTTCTTTCTTCAGCATGTGAGGGAAATGCCCCGGGTACCGAAGTTAGCGGATAGAGAGGGCGGCGGGTGGAGGGAGCTTCACTTACCGAGAGGGATGTTATTCGAACGACAGAATGGACGGGCACGGACAAATTAAATCGCCCGACTGGAGCATAAATGCATTATTAGAATCAGAAAAGTAAGAATACGATCTTGTCGTAATGGAATCCGTAACTGCAGCTATTGAGTCTGCTGTGGGCCTAGAAGAGAGATTTGACTGGCTTTTTATTAGGATGGATGTAGATATAAGTCGTCTCTTGGCCAGGGCATTGGCAGAGCAGCTTCCACTCCTCCCTTCGATAAGCTTCCTTTTTTGGGCACTGGACCTAGTTACCGCTCCATGGGAACATCTATAGATTCCGCTATCGGGAAAGTAAGGCATGGAATCACGCTAAGGTAAGGTTTCTATCTAATCCATCTAGAATAGGATCTACTCTATCTATTTAATTTTCCACTTCTGCCTGGCTGACTGAATAAGCAAAAGGAACCATAGCTAATACTGATTGATGAGCCTTCTCTCTCCTTGATCTGTCTAGTTCTATTTTGACTAATCTGAATCTGTGGACTGAGTTAGTAGCTAACTAAAATATAATATTTGAGGATATAGGAGTGGGGCTATTCTTCGCACCGATAAAATCATTAGTAAATGTCGTTATCTCCACGGGTTAAGGGCAGAATCAGACCTTGGGGAACCGGTATGAAAGGGAGCTAGCTAAGGCAGCAAGCCAAGAAAGGCAGCATAGTAGGCCTTTTAGAAAGGAAGCCAACTCTTTTTTGACGTAGGGTAGAGTAACTTATTTCATTCCTGGGGTTTTCCATCCTGGCTTTAATGCGGCTAGAGACGGAGACTTTCCCAGTGAAAGCGCTGGCGTTCAGTTTAGTTGCGTGCTTTCTGATCTCTTTCCCTTCCTTTCTGTGGTAGCATGTTTTCTAGTCTTGTCGGACTAGGAGCTCTACTAGGCTTGACCGTGGGAAATTTACTTATTCTTGCTCAAGTAAAGTGGAATCAGTTTCATTTGGCTCTAGACTACGATTCAATAGAGAACGATTTGGCACATCTTCGATTTCCTGGTATGAAAGCTTGGTTTTATTTGAGTTCAAGATATTCGGGTCTTTGCTTTTGCTCTTTGTAATCCTTGTCTTTAGCTTGGGACTTAGCTTGGCACCAGGGCGGCTTACTCATCGTGCTTATGGCTTGGCCAATTGACATTGTCTTCGATCGAGTGCTCTTATTTCACAACGATAGGTGGGTTACCCTTTCTTTGAACCTTATCAATGATCGAAGGATGCCGGGTTGGGCGGTTTAGTGTTTTTTATTAGTAAATTAGACTTTAATGTAGAATTTCTGGAGTATTAATCTACTTTGAATTTAGAATCTTCTCACTCGCTATCCGTTGCTTCCTTTCTAATCACTACTAAACTTCTTTACTTACTACCCTTGGCTATAGCTTGCCTTACTTGATAGCTTCGCTTGTTTACAGGTACAGGATAGGTCGCTAAGCTCCCTCTTCATATCTGTGGGGCCAGGCCAATAGTAGTACTTTTTCGCTTATTCTTTCTGGGCGAGGGCACCCCCTTTCAAGTCTCAAGGTTTGGAACCAACTCTACTAGGTTGAGGAACCCACAGGCAATATAATGTTACCCCACCTTCTGTAGGCATTTTCGGGGAGTAGCCTGCTTAAGCATACACTTGTATTGGGCTGCGGAGGATCCTGAATCCCGGGGATCCCGAGGCGGCTCCCGCTCCAAAATAAGACCATCACTGGAAAAGAAATAACAAATAATACAACACCCTCACGATTCAAAAAATGAATATTCGTCAAGGTCGGCATCCCGGATTCCCTTGTTCCGGATATCGGCAAAGATCAAATCAGCCTCACGTAAAATGGCATTGTTATTGGGGTTTTCCGTAATAACTTGCAAGATGTGAAGTAGGCCTTCTTTACTATTTAATCTATCTTTCACAACGAGCTCAAAGACCCGCCACGCCTTGTTGTGGGATGGCATCGGTCCCCCATCAGGTGTCCCCATGCTATGGACATACGTCAGAATGACACGGTGAAGAGCCCAATATCCGTTCGGTAGGTTTGGACTCTCATGGCGGTCATCTGTGTACACTGGGGGCTGTTGCGCCGGTGGATTCGCTACAGGTGGTGCTTGTTGGCCGGCAATCATAGGGTAAGCGAATAAAGTTTACATGTTGGGCCAAGCTAGTTTGCTTCGATGGTAGGAGTCCACGCAGTGAGGCAGCCATTTCTAGTGACCTTTTTGGGGGTTGGTTCTATACGAGGCAATCGAATATGGTCCCTGTCTGTCATCCAATCCAATAGGCATTTAGGGATCCGCGATTGTAGATTGTAGTGAGCTTTTGGTAGTCCTATGCTTGTCTCTCTAGCTTGTCTATGTCTATGGGTTTGCATATGTCTTTTCAAGGGCTGGCTTTTTATAATGACCTTAAATGAAAGTGCAAGAGCTAATGATAAGGAGCTAAATGCCTACATTCTAGTATACCAGGATCGTCACGAGAGGATTGGGGAAGGTCTAACTATGGACCGGACCATAAGACGCAGTTTCTTATGGCCTAGTATAGGATATCTTTCTGTTCTGCTGAAAAGAGATAAGCACTAAGAAGACGACTATTTTGTGTTGAATATGCTTTCTTCCACATAGGCTAGCTTCCTCCTTGTGGCGAACAAGACTGAGAATTCTTTATTCTATTTAGATATATATATATATATATATATATATATATATATATATATATATATATATATATATATATATATATATATATATATATATATATATATATATATATATATATATATATATATATATATATATATATATATATATATATATATATATATATATATATATATATATATATATATATATATATATATATATATATTATAATATAAGAATACGAGTCACGCTCTCTCTTTTTTCGCCCTTCTTCCCGCTATACTTATCTCTTTTGGACCTTGTCACAGCCTAAAAACCCCATATTATTTTTATGATTCGGATTAGTTCAAATAGCCTTGATAAAGACCAAGACCCAGGGCATAGGATGGAATGATTTTCCTTACCAAAGCCTTAGATCATCATGGAATCACGCACGTTGAGAGATGAGTGATCCACGCGAACTAGCCAAGTGCAAAGTCTTAGCGCGGGGACCCCTCCACAGCTAGGTTATTTATTTCCTATACCAAAGCTTTTCGACTGGGCTAGGCCTATTGCGAGCCCACGTCAGGTTTTCCAATGACTTTGCTTTACCTTGTCCTCTAGTTGGTTGGCCGAATCATCTCTTCCACCGTAGTGGGAATGCTTTTGTCTAGCTGTTATAAACATATGAAAGACCGGCCCAGTTCGTATCAGGGCTTCTGTTTGTGGAAGCATGTAATCTTAAAAAAATAAATAACCTGTAGCTACGGCTGTCCCTGAACTTTTGCGGCATTGCCCATGGCATGGGCATGAGCACAACACCTATGTATGGGCAATACCTCCCTATATTCTTTACAAGAGACCATTCCCTCACAGTCAATGCTCCTTCTTGCTACAAAGGCACCCTTGAAACATGGAAGATTTATTCTAGTAAGATGGCAGGCAAAGTCTAGCAGGGGCAACCCCAAACCTCTACTTCCACCGTCGCAGCCTATAACTCTAAAGCTAGAGTATAGTATATCTAAAGTGCGCTTTTGTCTTATTTATCGTTTTAGTTGAAAATGTCACTTGCACAACTCTTCATAACAGCCCCTTCTATGCCTAGTGCTTTTGCAAATGGGCAATTTATGGGCATCTGAGAACAAGCCCTTAATTTTATTCTTCAATTGCGCAAACCAAGACACCTACTCTTTTTATGTTTTCTGAACAGCGCAAATTATTGAGATGCTAAAGAGGGACTGGACTGACCAAAGGGATAAGGTACATCCTGTTGATGTTGAGTATTCTATTCTTCTTGCTCACTCAAGATATACTGACTTGTTTTCATGGAGCGAAGAATGCTTTCTTTCTCGCTTACTCGAGAGCTAACCTAGAATAAAGAGTCTTTGACACGGCGTCAATATGGCTTAAAGAAGGTCGCTATGCCTCGAAGAGTTATATCGTAGTGCTTTCAAAAAGATCTTTTTTATCCTTATCCTCTGTAAGCTAAAAGGATATATTCTTAGGTAGTGACTCAATAGCTCTCCCCTCTAGTTTTCCCCCAATCCTCTCCTGCTCATAATAGGGCTTTCAAGGGCTATGTCATCTAGAAAAACGGATCCATTAGCATTAGTTTCCTTCTTTTTTTTATTTTTTGGTTGGAGCCTATCTTATATGCTTTCTTATGCCTTTGCAGTGCCTGGACGTTTTGTTTTGGTAAGGGACACGAGTGAACAAAGGAGAGGTTAAACCGCTTACTAGCGGCGAAAGAGCTTCTATATCGAAGTTCCACATCTTTGTGACAAAGACGATGCTAGTCTTTTTGACGAATTACCTGTTGGAGGAATACTATAGGGACTTTTCTCTCGAGAGATGGGGCATATCCTCTCTTAGCAGCATTCCTCCTCAGATGGACAGAGCAGAGCCTTATTAGTGATTAGTCCGCTAGTTTCCTGGATCCCACTCGGTCTTCCTTTTCCCTTTGCTCCCTGGATAAGTCTCATTCGATGTTGCAACCGATGCTTAAAACATATTATTTATTCTATCTTCTCAGTCTTCGATCGATCATTCTCTGCTTCATAGAGGAGGGGTTTCCCAGCTAACAAGGAAGCGGGATTTAAAATAGAGGTAAATTCTAAACTGGACTGAGGTGGCCTATACACCAATTGACCGACACCATTCCTTAAGAAACGAAGATCGTTGCAAGAAGACCCCCCCCCCCCCCGTGTAAATGGCAGAAATTTGACAGCAATAGAACGAACCTTGGGCTTGACATGACAGCACCTCGTGGCTCCCTTTCAAGATGAACAATGCGGCTAAGCGGGGTGGATGTGCCGATGGATGGAGGCGACTGCATGCTGCATCTAAGAGTTTAGTTCCATGAGACTGAATAACATGGCCTGAAACGAAGTAAACTCACTTTGCTTAACACAGGGCAGCAGAGCAGGGCTTCTTTCTCACCCTCACCCGTCATCTAACATGGTTCGCACCAGCGTTATTTTACTCGCTTAGTCCATCGCTGCTTGGCTCTACTTCAACCACTACAGACGGTTCCCTTGCAGCTAAAAGAATGCGATAGAACACCTTTTCTTACATCAGGAGATGAAAGCCGTCAAGCAGGCAACAAAGTCGACTATTCGTCTTCACTTCCTCAAAAGTGCTAAAAAGAGCCCCTGAGTGCAGACCCATCCCCAAGGGACTAAACGCATTAAGTTATCTTTCAAAGAGCTTATTCGAGAACAACCTATTCTAAAAGAAACCTATTTTAATTTGAAAACAGCTTCTTTTAGGGATGACTATTCTGCAGCGGTAATTGCAAACAGAAAGGGAGCACCGCTTACTCAAGCACTAGTACCGTCTAAGCATCCCACAGCTGATGATTTATTTCCTTCAAACCTTCCACCAGGAGGATGCTACTTCTCTTTTCTATTCTTTTACAGATTACTTTCCCCGGGAATGCTTGCTGTCAGCAGTTAAGGGACAGAGGGAAGGTGACGAAGGTAATCCTACTACGGCACTAAGACTCATTCAGTCTATTTGGCGATTATTCCCACTGCACAGCTACTGCTGTAAGGAAGGAATTCGGTTTAAAGCTTGTTTTGTTGCGGGGAATCTGGTTTGAAATTTATTACACTCCTTCTCTCCCTCTTTCCTGTGCTAGCAATCCAGTAATTCGGTAAAGAAGTAAAGCAAGAAGTCCAGTAAGCCAAGGAGAGATCCCGGGAAAGCCAAAGTTGTGCTTTCCTTACTTCTTCTTATACCCTTGTAGGGAAAACAAAATAATACATACCAATGCCTTATCTCGGCATTAGGAGTTCATTAAAAAGGTAAGAAGGAATGGCCGGATATAAAGAGATGTCCCTGAGACTAGTGAAATCATAGAAAAAGTTAAAAGAGTAAGACTAGCAATTCGGGATAGAAGGACTAATTTACTTATATTTATCCCTAGAGGAGATCGAGACTAGTATTAGTTACTTTACCGAGGCGAGGAGGGGAAGATAATGACATTGATAAAAAAACCTCTTCGTAAAGAAAGAACAGACTTAGATCTTAGAGACGAATGCACCAAAGAAAGGTAAAGGTCAGACTCCTAATTCTAAGCAGCCTCCGATTCTTGCAACTCTCACATGAATTTACTTTTTTTTCGCTTTCACTAAGGGACAGAGTCTGTCTTTACAGCACAGTAGGGAGATAAAATTCATGTACTAGAGAGGAAAGCAAGCCAAGAGCTCTGACTTGAGACGAAGAAACTAAGCTCACTTTCCGTGCCAAAGAGAATCCACTCGTTTATCTAGTAGGGAGAGAGAGACAATCAGGGTTGACTTGATTTAAATGTCTCTTCTTGTTTGTTTTCATCGGCTAAGGGGCTCTTATTATTAACCAGAACAAGACTTGGCTTATACATTTTGCGAAGGAAAAATAAAGCTATCTTTTCTAGGGCCAAAAGGGGGAGTACCATGTAGTTAGGAAGATGATCGATGCCTAAAGCATGTCTACTTAAGATCTCTATCCTTTCTGGTGATCAAGATATCCCAAGAAGAGAGACCTGACGGCGCGCCTTTACTAGAAGAGAAGGAAAGAAGACACTTACTAGAAATCTATTCCACTACCGCTTTCTTTCTCTCTGTCCACAGCCATGACTCACCCACCTTTCCATCCCCCCTCAAAGATCCACCCGATCGATGAAGACTTGAACCGAACTCGCAATGATCAAATCGACTTTGGAAAGTAAATCCATCCTCAGGGCAAGCCAAAGGAAGGACGGGATAGAGCTCCAAGACAGGCTGAAGGCAGAGAAGGATAGACGAGACAAGGAAGCAAAGGAGAAAATAAAGATCGGAATAGAATAGAGGTAACGGTTGAACGAACGGTAGACCTAACTCTGTATACTTAGCCGGAAGCAGGGCATTCCACCGATTCCACTTAGGGAGAAAGCCTTTCCCGTATCTATTTGAACCCGATCTTAAAATTTCTATCCGGTAGACTTGGTAAGGTAAAAGGGCCCCGACTTATTTTATTTCCAGAATTAAAGTTCGACCGCAGCTGCCCCTTTTTTGTTTTGGGGGGATCAAGTTCCTTGCCAACTATCGACCCCGATCTCTTTTCATTTATTTGGGGTATTACTAGCCTAGCCTTCATCAATCACACTAAAGCAGAGCACCCAACTACGGCAAGGCCCCCTTAATTAACGGTTAGGTTAGTAAATCCGGCCCGAGACGCGTTCGTTGACAAAACCGCCGTAGGAATGGAGACCTTTCAATAGAGCGGAGGCGAACTGATCAACGAGAAAGAGGCCCTACTCACTACAAACGAATACACCACAAGATCGAACTGCACTCATGCCTCTGCCGCATCAAGTTGACCGACCCCCTAAGTAGTTCTTCTATCAATCATGTACGTAGGTAGGGTCCCCCATTCTGATTGGTATATCATGAAAAATAAAAGCCATTTGCACCAGGCGCACTGCGCTTTCCCTTTCCTAGATGTTCGCCTTTATAAGTCAAGTAATGGTGACCCGCCGAAGACTGGAGCCTCATAACATGTTGACGAAGACCCCCGAACTGAGGGTTCGATCAGTAGAGGGGACAACTTAGCCTCCCCGGAATAAGAATAGCCCCGCTCTCTAGCCGACTGATCCCGTTGATCATATAACTGGGAGGGAACGTGTCACATTAGAGGTGAACGATCAGAGATGTCCGATAATTACCACGATGAGGCTGGTCCCTCTTTTATTTTTGTAGACTAAGCTATGAATATGAATGAATGTCGGGCTCTTTCTTTCACTGCTAACCCCAAGAAGTTTCTTAATGCTTATATTTTATGTTTCGTCGAGCCCCGAGCTTGTGGTCCTCCTTTGAGTGTGGGTTCCATTGGATGAATCTCTCAAGTCAAGGTTCACGTACATAGCAGCAAGAATGGTACAGCGCCTATTTATCGTTCTCGCTCGGGAGCCAAAACGAAAACGCCTGCTAGCCACTGTACTGGACCTTCGACCAGGCATTATACCCTTGTCGAATCGGAACCAACCACCACTGTATTGCGCTCGAATAGTTGAGCGGCCGCCGGCCAGCAACTTCCGTATCGTACAAAGATATAGATTCAATCTTCGTACCTGGTCCAACTTCACAACCCTTCGCGGGTTGGTTAGAAGTCAGTCTTGTTTGGTAAGACTCTATTGAACAAAGCAAAGAAAAGAGAGTGCTCGACCGGAACAACGGCCAACAAAGATCGTAATTACATAGATAACAGCTCCTCCCTTTCTCCGGCTTTAAGGCGAACCGTATGGCGGCTGGAAAGAAAGACGACCTCACCTTCTCGTAGATGGTGTCAGTGAGAGCAACTTTAGTATCCCCCGTTGACCTTCTTTTGTAGATAGAATCTTCAATGAGTGTAAACAACTTACTAATAAAGGTGCGCTTGTTGAGTAAGGCCGTTTTATTGCAGGAGTGCTAACGCGCGCCCTTATTCTTCGATTGCTCCGCAGTACGAGCCTCATACAGAGCCCCTTTAATATGATGAGGAGAAGGCCAGACCCAACCCCGCCCTCTTTTCTGCACCAATATTTATTTACGACTATATTTTTATATTTGGGGTGTATAGCTCAGTTGGTAGAGCATTGGGCTTTTAACCTAATGGTCGTAGGTTCAAGTCCTGCTATACCCAAACAAACCTACCTTACACTATACCTATGAATTAATAAGGATGTGTAGTAACGTTCAAAGATCACTCTTTGGCCTTTAGACTCGCTTCAGCGACTTCACCCTTTAAGTGAGTGAGAAGGGGGTGAGGTAAGGAGTAGTATAAGAGTGGCTCGGTCGCCTCTCCTTATTTGATTCATTCTATAGGGCGGGGCTGCAGACCAACAATCCAGCAAAAGGGCTTAAAAGCTCCTTTATAAAACCTTCCCCTTTTAATAATAATAAGGTAAGCATCAAAGCCCAGCAAACCCAACCTATACAAAGAGCTCTTTTCAGCCCCTACTCCCAACAAGTGAAAGTAGCTGGCACCCACCATACCTTGCTTGCTTCGGGGCCGATCTCTTGTATCGAAGCAAACATATATATAAATATATATATATATATTAGTTCCACCACAAATCGATTTCGCTGCTTAGATTGGATTAATGAGAAAAAGTATATTCAATTCAACCATTCGCATGGTCTCCCATAAGACTGACCTCTTTTCCAAATGAACCGAACCTCGATACCACATTCATCAAAGAGATACGGCCATCTCTCTAGGTTGCACACCCCTTTATATTAGATCGTTCTATTCGTGCTTGAAAAATGACCCCGCTCCTCATCCTCAATCTGGTGGTCCCTCTCCTAGCGCTCAAGGAGTTGCTTCTTTTTCTTGTGCTCAACCTAAAAACCGAGGTTGGGAGAAGGCATTAGTCGTCTAAGTCGGGCTGCTCATCAGTGCGTACTGTGCTCCCTCTTTAACTTCCGTCAGGCCTAGCACCGAAGTCGAGTGCTACCACTGAGCTTTGAATGGGTCTCCCCCTTTCGATGAGCAACAATCTGACATAAAACTACTACTTAACTTGATCGGCAACCCTTGGATTCCTAGTTAAAACTACAACTTCATCTCGATCAAAGGTGGAATCCCAGATGGCTTGAAGCTTCCTATTCGCCTTTCGGGGGGGTCCCTGTTGATAGATAGGGGCAATCTCAAGGTAGACAGGACAAAGACT